TTATAGATTACAATATCAATTATAGTGCACTCTACCCATTACTTAACTTTTCACATATTTTTATTTCTTATTTAGGTTGTCTGGAAGAGATTGCTGCTTAGCAGTAAGACCGCCTTTTGTTTTTCTCTTTGTTTCTTGTTATGTTGTATTTTTTAGTGTTCAATAAAGGCTATTGTATTGTATTGTATTATATATATTTTATTTATAACACAACTTTTTACATAAGTTTTTTGATTCGCTAAACCCCGAGCTAGTATGACTGTGTTTCAGGAACCAGTTCCTCCCCTAAAAAAGTCAGTCAGTCAATTTCTATGTAATAATATACTTGAAAAGCTATTTAGTTAGTTAAACAGGTACAGAAATATAAATAAGAAGTTTTATTTCAAGCGCTTTATAAAGTAATTATTACATTTGTATGCATGAAATGGTTCAGTTATTTCAATTTTATATTGAGATATTGAAATAAAATACAGCCTATATAAGTATTTATACAACCTTCTCTCATTTCTGAGAAGCTTTTTGGGCAAGGAAATATTCACCGTGCTGCACCAATGCGTATTGCATTTCATATGTCTTCGAATTGTTTTTTTTTTTGTTTTTACGGTCATGCAGGTTTCCTTATGATGTTTCCTTCAGCACCGAGATAATCATAAACCAGGTCTTATTATTTCAATCAACAATTTTATTCAGTAAATTTATATTTTATTTCACAGATAACTTTTATCTGACGATTGAAAAATCAGCCCTACGTGACTAAAGAAACGAATGTTAGAAGCTATTTACTTTATGATCTTATTATTTCGAGAAGAAAAATCGAAACTATTTTATTTAGTATTGTATTTTATTGGTAGTTGGGCAGGATTTTGTCAACTTTAATCGCATGTCTTGCCAGCGCCGCACGCACATGAAATCGTGACGGAGTTGGATTTATTATGGGTTAAATACGAGTACGTAAGAGCTGTAGTAGCTCAGGGGCTAAGCGCACGCTGTAAGTTTCACATAACGCGGGCAACCCGAATCCGATACCTGCCAGCACCATTGAGATTATTATTTTCAATTTTAAGTGCTGATTTACCCTGTGCTCTGCGGCGAATGAAAACATCATGAGGAAACCTGCATGTCTAAGAAATTAGAATAAAATATTACGAAGAATAATATGAAGATCTTATAGGGCCTTTTGAGACACCCACAGGATGAAATGTGAAGATTGATACTATTACGCCGCCACCACATTGTCGTTAGTACATACGTCAGTCTGACCCCAGCGGCGGAGCGGCGGTCTATGGCTCCGCCACCAACCAAGATCCGGCTGCGGAGGGTCGGGAGAGCAGCGCTCCGCAATACCGTCAGTCCTCTCCCGCCGTAGCCCTACCACCACTACATCAACGGTGCGGCCCCGTCTGAGTCACGGAGGATAGGGCGATTGGCGCATAGCCATACCAACCCCCGTGACTCTACCTGTAGCGTCAGGAAGAGAAGACACTCCTCTCACAGCAGCCCACAAGCACACATCCGAAGTGAGCTCGCCAAGCCCACTCGGAGTGGCCACCTCAGGCCGGACCTTTACACCGTGGGCCAGCCATGTGGGTTCCTCTTTGTGCACCGCGGGTGACCAAGCCACAGCCACGAAGCCCTCCCGCCACGACAAGGCGGGAACCATTTCGGGGGGGGGGGGGGGGGGGACATCAACTTAACTTATAATACAAACACTCATGCCTGGGTAACAGGGCTAGGCAGAGACTACAGACTTACATTTTGCACGATCCTGATATACTTCTCTCGTTTTAATGAGACTCTTTCTAGTGATAGTTCTTATTTAGATAGTTGTTGTATATATATATATATATATATATATATATATATATATATATATATATATATATATATATATCATTACAGCCCTTCACAAGTTCACTGCTGAACATAGGCCTCCCCCAAGTAATGCCACAAGCACGGTCCTGAGCCACCTGCATCCATCGACTTCCTGCATATCTTACCAGGTCGTCACTCCATCTAGTGGGGGGTCGCCCTACACTGCGCCTACCGGTACGAGGCTCCCACTCGAGAACGTTTCTTCCCCATCGGTTATCGGTTCTTCGAGCTATATGGCCGGCCCATTGCCACTTCAGCTTACTAATCCGTTGGGCTATGTCGGTCACTCTGGTTTTACTGCGTATAACCTCATTTCTGAGTCTATCAAAATATATATATATATATACAGAATATATAACGCACACCCTCAGACACCCCAATTAGTATATTTTGTTATATTCATAATACATATACCGAATTTTTAGTTAAACATTTTTATGCAATGATTATTTTAGAAATTAGTTATACTAATTCCGGAAGAATGTTGTGGTCACAGTACAAATCCACGAACGCAAAGAATTTAACGTGCTTGCAATAAATTTCATTTTTCTTTATTTTTATTGAATGACAGAATTAGTAATAATACAAATAAAACCCTTGCCCTAAAACCCTCTCAGAAATTAGGGGAGGCCTGTGTCCAGCAGTGGGACGTATATGGGCTGTAACTTTACTTTACTTTACTTTACAAATAAAACTGCACTCGTAAAAGTCCTATTGCCTTAAGTTACGGTCCATTTCAGTTTGTTTTGACTGTACAGATTTAGTGTGACTTTAATTTACGTAGTTTTAATTATTTTTGTGATAAAAAATTATATATATTAAAAATGATAGGAATCGAATCAGTAAACGATTCTGAAGAAACTACTTTCTCGAAGTGCGTTAATTACGTTACATATTGTGTATATATATATGCAAAGGGAATATAGGGCATAATGGATTTTATATATTTTTTTTTATAGAATAAGGGTGACAAACGAGCACACAGTCCACCTGATGTTAAGTTGATGTTGTGGCCTATAGACATCTACATTTATCCTCGATTGAGAACACACGGTACAAGAACACACGGTGTTAAGAACACACGGTACAGCCTATTAAAGTCCACTACTTAATATAGGCCTCCCCATAGATTGCCTCATATTATATTTCATATATATATATATATATATATATATATATATATATATATATATATATATTTACTACACACTATACAATTTTTTCTACATACTACACTATATAATTTTTATAACTAAATATGAGTTTGGTATTAACTAGTAATTTCCCGGAAATCGAACTAACACTGCTAATTATAATTCGATCTGCTGGTTGCAACATTAAACATTGCATAATACGAGTAATGTCGCAATAAGATGCAGTAGCGACCTTATAAAAGTTGCAGTAAGTTGAAGTGTGCAGGTGGCTCAGGATCGTTTCTTATCCCATTCTTTGACTTATGTCTGTTATGAAGGGATGTTATGATGATGATAATGGCGATGTGTATTATGATTCACAATACATTCGTCTCGCCAATTAGCTTGATTATTTACCATCTGAATATACTTTTACAATAGTTTCGTGTACATTATATTTAAAAATCCAGATTGGATGATGTTATTTATTGTCTATATTATTGATAATCTAGTATATTATATATATAGTTTAGTTTTACTATATGGTCGGCCGACTAGGTAAGTCCAACTTCGACCGATAGGTCAATCGACGGATTCAACTCGGCTGGGCAGCGTTTGGGAAATTACGACGCATCTTCTCAACAGGTATACCTCAAAACCTGAAAACTAAGTTGTACAAGCAGTGCGTGTTGCCAGTGATGACCTACGGAACCGAGACGTGGTCCTTCACTGCTGGCCGTATGAGGACGCTCAAAGTCGCTCAGCGAGCTATGGAGAGGGCTATGTTTGAGTTTCTCTGCGTGATAAACTTAGAAATGAGGATATCCGCAGTAGAACCAGAGTGACCGACATAGCCCAACGGATTAGTAAGCTGAAGTGGCAATGGGCCGGCCATATAGCTCGAAGAACCGACAAACTTTGGGGAGAGAAGGTTCTCGAGTGGCAGCCTCGTACCGGTAGGCGAAGTGTAGGGCGACCCCCTACTAGATGGAATGACAACCTGGTAAGACATGCAGGAAGTCGATGGATTCAGGTGGCTCAGGACTGTGCTTTGTGGCATATCTTGGGGGTGGCCTATGTTCAGCAGTGGACTTGTGAAGGGCTGTAATGATATGATGATGATGATGACTAGATAATAGCGGTTGTAGATGGTGGTTTCTACCACTAATTAACAGTGATTGAAATGCTGTCTTCCAATCTGAAAGGCAAAAGAAAGCAATTATAATTATAGACCGTGATGCTTTCCTGGCCAGCAGTGGGACGTTTCTCATTAATTCTTGTGGTCTGTGTATTCTACCACATACAATTTGCAAATTAAAATGTGTTTAAATTTAATTTAATTGTTTCATGGTGCCAAGTTTTCTGAAGTAAACTAATTTCTAGTCAGTATCCATATACTGATTCTGTTAACGCACTAAACGGGCACACAGGTTTCTTATTACAAATTGAATATTTAAAAAAACCATACCCCCACACTTTGCCCTTCTCCAGAGCAGAGTTAGTGTACATTCCTAAATTACACAGGAACAAACATCCAGACTCGAAAAAGCTATTTGTTGGCCGTAAAAATAATTATTCCGTGCAGCATTCAAACCCGAGGCCCTCAGCGCTGCATCTAAAGGCTAAGCCACTAAGCCACGAAGCCGTCAATTTTCAATAATGTTTAATGTATTTTGCGAACATCAATAAAATCACATACTTAATTGAAGTATTGGCGTTTAAAGGCTAAGGTTATACAAAACAATGTATAATCGCTCATTCTGTAACGTGGATAGAACGCATTGACCAGAATAACGCCTTTTTTCGTCATCACCGTTCATTCGAGTTTATTGTTCTGCTTCTGTCTGTACTACATTCGAACATTCGATGAATGCACAATAACACAGTTGCAGTCTTGCATTGCAGTTCAGTTTAGTTCAGCTTCAGTCGCTAATCGGTATACGTACGCTGCGCACGCGTCGCTCTTAAAATTAGCTTATTATTTGATTGCTGAAAATGTTTTTGGAAGTCAAGTCACCCAAAATGGCTGCTTCTGTACCTTATAACAAGTAAGTTTAAAATGCACTTCAGTATTTAACTTTCGTAATTCGTAACTTGAGATATGTAAGTCTTAATTTGTTTTGGATTTTAATTCGCAAACGTGCGTTGTTGCAAACCACTTTAAACGCTGGCGTGTGTAAAAAAGAAGGGTATGTTGTGGTAAAATATTTGTTTTGAAATATCAAGTACGTACTCGAGTGTTTCGAATTTTTCTTTAACTATATATTGAATAATATTACGTTTACTGAAGTTGTTACGTACTGATTATTAAATGGTTTACTTATTATCTGTAGGTACATATAATAAAAGTGTAAATTGTAGGTGTCTGTACATTGTATATTTTTGTAACAAAAATTATTGAGAAACTAAAAATAAGCAATACATTTCTACCATTTTACATTTGTCTGTCTGTCTGTATATTTGTTTATGAACGTATCACGTCTAAAGTACTTTTTTTGAATAATCTATGTAATTCATAAAATAAAAGTTGCACCGTTAGTACCTACACTTTGCGGTTGTGTTTCGGCTTTCAGTTGTCGTTTACACATTCAGTAGCAAACCGTTACTATTGATATCGATATATTAAAACGGTTTTCAATAACGATATGAAAACTAGATATCGGTTATGTAACCGTTGCAGATAAAAACTGGAAACGCCCATGCTTAGCTACCGTATCCGTTGCGGCGGCGTCGCTTGCGTTCTTCCATAGATTACTGTATACTAGAAATCGAGAGAACGCATCAAGCAAGGTTCGATCAACAATTGTTGATCGAAGCTTGCGTACTACGGACCGACCGAACTAGTTGACGGGGAAGGGTCGTCAGCCATCTTGGGTCTCTCAGGTAGACAGACAGGTAGGCAAAGTCCAAAAAAATTGTTTTATGCCGAAAACTAAAGATAAAGATAAAAGAAAGAAAAAAGCAACTAGATGGCAATCAATAGCATCATTGCCTGTCAACTAAAGCTAAAATGATCAAATAATTATATTGTTATTTCGTTTTCGTATCATTTTTAAATGGATATAACCTCAAAATTATAATTATCGATATCTAGAAAACTAAAGATTTCCGGCATAAAAAGCAGCTAGGTGGTAATCAATAGCATCATTGCCTGTCAACTAAAGCTAAAATAATCACTTAAATCGTGCAGCAGATTACTAAAGCCGACCCTTTTTTTTTAAATAATCGTTAAGAATATCAAAAAGCGTGTCTTTGCGTAACACTTAGGCTTTGTTTTATTAAATTAATTTTTCTATAAAATCATCACCATCATTAATAGTTCGTAAAACACCACTACAGAAAATGGGAATCTTCCATTTAATAAATTTTGATCGCCTCATTTAGTAGGAATTGGCGAGCGCACAAACATTGAAGTATAATGTAGTACCTATAGTATAATGTAGTATGACCTACCTCAATGCGCACGAATGCACCCCGTCACCAGTGTGACCAGTCTATGCATTTTACATCTGTCGTAAACCGCCAGTTAAGCCGCCAGATGTTATGACTTTTTGGTATTATACTATCTTCCATTTGCATCTTATGATACCAACGGAAAGGAATGGAGAGTGGGTAATGTGAATTTTCTTACGTCTCAACCACACTCCCTTTTTTATAAAAACGTAATGATTGTATCAACATTCTTGAACTAATTATAATTTATTTCCTTAGTCCTTACATATTTATCGTTGCTTAAGGGGGTACCTATATTGCCATAGTTGCCTCGCTTGGCAAGCGGGTTGGCAACCGCAGGTTTTTCGTTGTACAATTGCTGTTATCAGGAAAATGCTGCTGCTCATCTCGTGCCTGTTTCCCTCTGTCGCCTTTTAACCCCCCCCCCACGGTAAGTTATGGGTTAGTGGATATTCTTAACCGCCACTACACGACAAGGGGCAGGCCATATATCTCTAAAAACCGATGGGGAAAAAGGTTCTCGAGTGGCAGCCTCATACCGGTAGGCGTAGTTTAGGGCGACCGCCCACTAGATAGAGTGACCACCTTGTAAGGCGAACGCTACACGCGTGATATTTATCACGATCTGGGACGCGATCTGGAATGACGTGTCGCGATCCATATCGACACACCCTACACGTTCATTACGGATCACGTCAGTATTGGGCACAAAACTGTTAAGGTGCTCGTAGGTGCAGACATATCTAAAATGGACCGAAATGTGAAAAAGTTTTTTTTATAGGATAGGGTGACAAACGAGCACACAGTCCACCTAATGGTAAGTGGTTGCTGTGGCCCATATACATCTACATCTATCCTCGATTACGAATCAGAATGCAGATGCGTTGTCACCCGTGACGACTAAGACGGAATGCCTCGTTTCCAGTACAAGGGTCTCCGGTTCTCTACACTCACCATACGAAACACAGCAGCATTAAGCTACTATTTCACGCTGGTATTCTTTGAGAGCGTGATCCTTCCCCGGTCGAGCCGACCCATTCGTGCTACAACTATACTACTAATATAACTACAGCATGGCTCTACCACATACAAACGCTTTCTTAAAGCTTGTGTGGCTACATTATGGCAATAATATTAAAAAAGAGAGTGTCGATTTTAACGTATTTTTTTTTTTCAATTTCAATAAAAATGAATAATTTAAAAAAATCCATGTTTTTAAAATAAAATAAATTTGTAATTGGAATTCTTAGCTAAACCAAAATTATTTTAATTTGATATGGCTAGTACTGCAGAATGACAATTTCACATGTAGGTCTTGAGTGAAGACATCCAGAGACGAGTCATTCCATCTTAGTCCCCAGGGGTTTCGAGGATAGATGTAGATATTTATGGGCCCAAGAAACCACGTACCATCAATTGGGCTGTGTGCTCGTTTGTTGATTATTTTCTTATTAATAGAAATAAAATATATTAATAAATTACATTCACTTATTTAATTAAAAACGGCAATTTCATAGATACCTATGAAATTGCCGTTCTTAATTAATTATACGATTACAATCACAGATTAAAATAAAAAAGAATACTACTTTCTAAAACGAGAAGCAAATTATAAATAATATTTTGCATTTAAGTTGCGGGCGGATGGTTCGTGGAATAGATAATACTGTTAAACTGAGAACGCATTGTTTCGACGAAAATGAATGTTTGACCGTACTTTGGAATATTCAGGCGCCTTGTTACATATAATTATGAGAGTAGATACATAATAATATGTGGTTACTTGAAATATTAATTAAGTAATTTTATTCTTATTAATTTCATTAATAAATTTTTAAAACTTCCGTTTAATACAAAAGTTCTTTTTCACGGCTTTAGTAAAGCCCACAAGGAGGGTAGCATGTTTGGTTAATATATATATATATATATATATATATATATATATATATATATATATATATATATATATATTAGTAGTATAGTAAATGATATATTCGAGTATGATCCCTGTCGTCTAGTAAATTTTAATTTAAATATAGGGTGTTAATTTACTTAAGATTTGAACAAAATGCCGCGCTAGTTTACGTGGTAGAGCCAAACTGCAGTTATATTAGTAGTATAGTTGCAGCAAGAATGGGTCGGCTCTACCGTGGAAGGACCACGATCTCACAGAATACCAGCGTAAAATAGTAGCTTAATACCGCTGTGTTTCGTATGGTGACTGTGGAGAAGCGGGGACCCTTTTTAGTGGAAACGAGGCATTCCATCTTAGTCCTCACGGGTGACAACCCATCTGCATTTTGATTCGTAATCGAGGATAGATGTAGATGTCTATGGGTCACAGCAACCACTTACCATCAGGTGGACTGTGTGCTCGTTTGTCGTGATATCCTATAAAAAATAATCGTTATTTGTGAGGTTTTTAGAAGCTATCTATTTATAATTAAAAAGATATATAAACTATTAAAAATCTTTTAAAATTCTACATAATCTTGATTCCATAATAGCCAATTCCAATTTTTTTAAAAGAGTAAATTCTTGATGAATCCTTTACAACTAAACCAGAGAAATGCGAAATAATTATTAGTAAAATGCATCTCATATAGTAAGCATTATATTATTTTATGATTGACAATAATGGGTAGACAAACTATTAATAAATATTTTTTCTATTTAATTTTCTTAATAACTGAAATTCGATTTTATAAAGAAAATATTTCAAAATTTGGGCGTATTTCTTACACGTAATATTGTAGCGAGAGCGCGCGGAGTGTAGAAGCATTAGGTGAACCGAATGCTCAAGGTCGTTCTCTAGGAGTCGGCCCTTAATGATTTTTTATGTTAATGTGAACACTACAGATGAAATTAATACTAATACACATTATAATATACGGATTTAGTCGCATTTAAATTTTACTTTTCCACAAATTCCTAAATTGCTAACTATGTGAGACTGCACACACCTCAGTCCTCCCCCCCCTCGTGTCCATAAATGCTGTAAAATACCCGAAACGTCGGTTATTAAGAAGTTAACATTAAACCCGATAAAATTCGTAAAATTAATTTTATTTAATGCTAATTTACTACTTGCTCGGCAGTAAAGATAACATTGTGAGGAATACCTGCATGCCTGAGTAATGAAATATTTCCAGGACATGTGGACTTATTTTTCTAATACCCTCTCAGAACTGAGAGGAGGTCTGTACGTAGCAGTGGCATTTATATAAGCTATATCTTTACTTTTTAATGGAGGATGAGGCACAATCATGCGGCTCAACTGATGGCAAGTGGTCACCGTCGACCATAAACATCTGCAATATCAGAGAAATTGCAAGTGCGTAGCCGGCCTTTTAGGAAGAAGGCTGTTTCCTTAAATGTCCCTAAGTTGTGTCGGTTCGAAAAAACCGCTGGCGACATTTAGTTCAACAGTTTGCAGAGGCAATAAATCCCGCGTAAATCGCTTTATTTATTACTTTACTTTATTTACTTAGTTACTAAGTGAAAGTCTTAAATTGTCATGTCAATATTTCATTAGTTAAAAAATTCTAATTTCTTACTACTTTATTGAACATGTTTTGTGAAGAATGTGCCACTC